TAACGTGTGAGTTCTCAACCTTTTATTATTCGACTTAAACTGCGCAGCTCAGCCACAATATGGAACAATCCCGAAATAGATTCATCAAGGCAACGCGTGGACTAACCGGTTTCAGTTACGAACATCGCCTCTGTTTGCCCTATGTGTTCTCCTCAGAATACCGACGACTTCGTTTAGATCTTTTTTACATACCACATTTACTGAGAGCAATCACATATTTACATCACTGTTGACCCTAGCCACTTCCAAACAGTGTCAAGGACATAACCTTAAACTAGTGATACACCACTCCCAATAGGATTAAATGAAGTATTTTTCTTCTCTTCGAAGCTGTTCCCACTGGAATGCACTGCCAACACATGTGGTGAACCGCGCCAGACATTGCGCCATTCGAGTGACTATTAGACTTTCATTTTAGTATTAAACGCCACACAACAGTTCGATAATGTTCAAAGGCTTAACCAATGCTAATTCCCATTCCAATTTGGAGTATTTTGATTTTAAGTTTGCTTTGCATATCCATCCTGTGGGTGCTTTAAAGTTACACTTTTTATCCAATCATACACTACTGGACTATTGAGATTCAAGCCCCCGAGGGCTTTGATATAAGAAACACAGCGCGTGTTGCATATTCAAAAGTCACGTAGCAAACTCCGATCTAATTTTTCTCAGTAAAATATGCATTGATAGGGAATAACCTTCCCTCAAATACCAGAAAATTCTCTACTTATCTGCATTTCAGACAGGTGATCAAAGTTCGCCTGACGTTTTCCAATCTCATGTAAATATGAAGCCAAAAGATGGTCCTGTATGATTTGTTTGAGAAATGTCGTGGATGCACTTAAAATTTATAATATTCCCTACTTATGTCAATATCATAAGCTTGTTTTTACTTGGGTAAACTTTTAGTATGCATTTAAAGTCCATCGTATGCCCATCACTCCTACACACTCACGTCTTCTTCTCTTTTAGTGCACTGTTTCGGAGATGAGGTACGTCTTTCAAGCTGAAATCTCCGCTAGACTTCGTTGTTCTCAACAAATTTCCATCATATTTTGCTTCTGTTATTAGCAAAATGTGAAAGTTATTATGTTTTGGATTCCTCACGCCTTATATCCTTCTTTATTTCACTGTTGGTCACGAGCGAGGTGATTTCTTGAGGTGACGGCTAACTACTTCCAAGTTAAAATCATTATACACGTGCAGGGCGTACTACCGATGACTCGCTTGCAAATGACAAAAGGTTGCCATACTTGAATGATCTACATACGCATCGGGCTGAGGCTTTAACGCCCATAATGCATGCATAAAACAGCCCTTACAAACAACAATAACAAGTGATAGCTTGCATGCTATTTTGACACACCGGTACACATCCAGTTGGTGTATGGAAGTACGGGTGAAATCCATCTAGGGAATAACCCGCATGGAAGCAAGTCCCCTGGAGGCAGTTCCGTGGCTGGCCTTATTACTTGATTTGAATATTTGGCTAAATCTGCATTTGTTATTTTTCCTATTTTCTTAATCACTCTAGTGCCTTCAAAATCCTATTCAGTTCAGAACCATTTTTGCGATTTCCATGTACCAATTAATCAATCTCCTCAGTTTGAATGTGTCTGACACCGTAGTAGAATAAAAGGTTTATTTATTTAGTTATTTTTGCATACCTTAAAGAGTAGCACTGAAAAATTATACATGAGTTAACTCGCTTCCGTACACAATAAGTTGCATAATTTAAATAACACTAAAGTCTTACGGAAGAGCTGAATACCAACAATTACTTGCAGTGATGCGCTCGTAATTTAGAATCATATTCTACTTATCGGTTTGCCCACTGTGCTCAAGTATCTCTAATCGCACCTCCGAGTCCCTGCCGAAGGTACCGTAGTATGTTGCCATAAATTGCATATGTATGCAATAAAGGCAAATAAATTTCTCTAGTTTGTTATAATTCAGCAATTTATTTCAGGGAAGCAGTATCTTTCGACTACTAGCATCAAGGAAATGCATATATAAAACTAGGAAAAATTTGTCTCCGGCTAGGAAAGCTAGGTTAAATTTGGTCTACTCTGAACCGACTGCCTATTTCGTCGAGATGACTTTGTAATCCTCTGTGATATTCACGCATTGGCGCATGCAATCTTGTTCTCAAAATGCATGATGGTTTCTCCGTCCGCAGTGGTGACGGAGTTTCCGCTTCTTATCCGTGTAAACGGCGCCCAGAATGATATTACCGCCACGTCATAATAAGAGAGAGAGTGCATCAACGTCCGTTGATTTCACTGTACAGGATGCATAGACCTGATGGCAACCAGCTCGGTTATCATTAGTGGTCGTTATTTGAAGTCATTATTAAGCCGCTCCAAATGGCGTAGAAAAATTTGAACAAAACCGTTGCGATAAATTGATGATAAGTTTAGACTAACTGCTAAAATATAACCGGCAGTACTTCTAACGGTGAGAATCCAAATTGATGCAAGGTAATGTTTTGGAATCTGAGTTGCTAAGCGTCTCATCGAGGATCCGATGTGTGTTGGACCACAGGTCCGAGTAAAATGCTATAGATTAGAGGACAGTAAAATTTTTAGCAGTCTATCCAAAATACACAGCGTTATAGACGAGAAGGTTTCTGCAATCACATTTGGGTAGCCTGAATTGAAGCCCTTGGCCTCAGTCTTTGCGTGTCTCCTGTAAACTGACTCGAAGTGGATATCCGCATTGATAGAGTAAGATAGGCAAACATAACTTTGCAGCATTATTAGTGAGTAGCATGATGAAATGAACAGTCGCGATGAATTCAGCGAATAATGATCACCGCGGAAAACGGCTGCCTAGTGTACAATGGTATCAGTCATGGGAATGGATGAGGTTTGAGTTTCAGACCTTTACTACACAGCAACGACAACCTGAGTTGATAGCACACAGCGGAGCGTAGAATTAAATAACATCAAGAATGAAGTGCTCAAATGCGTCCGACCGTTCTATTTCCGAAATGTTACACAATGTATAAGTTCGTTCTCTGATACGCAAATTGATAGATCCGCGCCTTCTTCAGGATTGGCGACGTGACCAGTCGGAAATAGATGAGTAAGATAAGCAAACATAACTTTAGAGCAGCTATGTTGCCACGGACTGAGCGGACAAAATGTCTGCAAACTTATTTGCCAGTCTAGCTAATAGTTTTTCCCGAAATCCGAAGGCCATATTGACGGACCAGGGTCCATGTTTTAAAAGTAACGCTTTCAGGATATGTCTGGAGAGAGTGGGCATCAGAAGCAATGAACCACTAGCCGCCATTCCTAGGCAAGTGGATTGACGGAGCGGAATAATAGGATGATTAAAGAATGACTTGCGACCAAAGGAGAGATTGGGAACATACTCTACCACTATGGTTGCTAGCTCACCGGGCGTCCAAGCAGACACGCACGTTTTAGTCCTCATTCCAGTTAATGTATTGCCGCGCGCCCCGAATTCCTGCGGATCTAGAAGTGGGACTGTGGCCGACCTGTCCATTACTGCCGAGTGAAGCAAGGAATAGCAGCAAGGTAGGGCACCGCAACCTGAAGACAGTTAAGGCGCTGCTGGTGAAGAAGTCCAAAGTCCACAAGAGAAAACCTTCGGAGACTTTCTAATCGGTTTGAATGTAAAGTACTGAGATCACCAACACACTACCGCATGTGGCCCAGGCGAGATAAAACTCCTCCGGTAGTGGAACGGGTTATATGACATAATTAATCGACGAGGCCCTGTATATACCATCGTTCGACAGGGAGGTAGGCGGAAATTAACGCTAGTGAATGGTGGATGTGGTATCATCGAGGAGAGAAAATTACTGCATACATGGGTCAGTGCCGAAGGCCGGACAGACTGCTTGCGAAGTGGCCGACTGTGGAAGCTTTAGAGGGAATAAGTGTGATGCACTTATAAGGAGTAGCTTGGTGAAATGAGCAGGCGCGATGAACTCAGCGGATATTGGATCACCGCGGACGACGGGCGCGTAGTGCACAATTTAAGCAGCCATGGAAAAGGAGGACGCTGGAGTTTTCGGCCTGTGCCACACAGTAACGGTAAGCTGAGTCGATAGCACACAATGGAGAGTAGAATCGAACGGCACCATGAACGAAATGCGCCAATTCGACCGACTGGTCGATCTTCGTTCTCTAATACGCATTTTGTTAGCACCGCACCGCCATGTCCACACCTGGGTAACAGACCGAAGCGTTTCAGCAATAACATTTGGGCGGAAGGACTCAGCTGCAGTCTTTGCTTGTCGTCTTACAGCGAGTCGAAGTGGATTTGTACTTTGTTAGAGTAATATAGTGAAACATCCCATTACAACAACACCACACTCGTTACCCTCAGCCATGGCTACTTTTGAATGAGAGCAGAAAAGTAAGCCTTGGATTTTCCTATGGATGCCATTATAGTTACTTTCCAAATCTCCTGGGTTCCGCCTTTTGTTGTTACCATAAGACAGGCAAGGAACCAGGTATTTTTGAGCTTCAGTAGTGTATTGTTGCGAAGTCATGGTTACTGGTCTATCCCATTTTAAGTTTGATATATTCTTCTTTGTAGTTCACTATTTTCTTGTATGCATAGGTAGCTTGAAATTCGATTTTACTCGTTTGTGCCACTATCATCTTGTACAGGATATTCAGTTCGTGGAAAAGGTAAGCTCAGTAAACCTAAGCAAAAGCAGTCTCAACTTCTTAACTCTTCGCAATATTCTACTTAGTTGTTTATATGTATATATATATTTATGATTTTTCCGGAAAAGATTTGTAGCAAAAGTATGTCTCAGCTGATTTAAATTGCCGAATCCTCTGTTGCACATTGTATCAAAAATGCAAGTTTTCTATAGTACCCGATTTTCGAGAAAGAAATCACATTGGTGTACAATCACATCTCCCGGAAAAAGAAACGTAAGATACATGGATGGCAGATACTAAACCATACGTTATCTTTAAAATGCAATTGCTCGATTGAGTGCCATAACTTACTGTATGATACGGTTGCTTTGAATGTAGCCCCGTATTCACTAGGTGCTGAGAGGACCACTATCATCGTGTTTGATGTGCCAAGGATTTTGCGATCTAATGAACGCGTATGCCGCTCGTAAACACGAATGACTTCGGCATTGCAGTCACGCCCGTCCAAAATTCTGACAAATCCTGACGACGAATTTATCTGTTAGGTATAAACAAACCGGAATAATGTAATACAAATACGATTTGTTCAATGCCTAGTCCTAATGTCAGATTGTGGCAAAATTGCATCAACTGCAGATCAAATAAATTCGTGGGGCTAGTCATCTTAGAATCTGTTTGCTTGACTAGCGCCGGGTGCATATGGAGGAAAATGGCTTATTTTTGTTTACTAGCTTCCTCACTTTAGGAGCAATAGATTTGCGCCAGACCGATTTCATCATCTTCCTTATGCGCTTAAAAGAAGTGTGGGATGTTATTGCACAAAAAATTTAAAGTCATCTGAGTAAAATTACAGCCAAGTTGCTAACATAAGTCTTTAGGTCTTCTAACCTTGGGTTGAACCATTCAATCCGAAAATGCTTTGAAGCCTGAAAACCAATACGCCGAGCTGCTGCGACGGGTATTTGAACAAATTAACCGTTCCACATTTCAACAAATGCTAAGTGTGTACGTTCGCCCTCATGTAGACTACTCAATTCAAGCCGGGCATCCAGGGCTGAAACGACGTAATTAGAATGCGCAAGCTTTCAAACGAGGAGAGGTTTTAAAGATTGAGGGTTTTCAGTGTAAGCCATTTTTGACTACGAGGTGACCTGATTTTGGCACACTTGATTCTGCGAGACCCACATCATGTTTTCCGCCCCTTATCTTGACTCAGAACCAATAAAACCCTAAGGGGCCAATAATTGAGACTCGCTGTACAGTAAGGCCGCCTGGTGTGCGGCAGAAACTTCTTTTCCATTCGCGTCTGTCCCCCGTGAAATACTCTCCCATACTCGATGATCTCTGCACCGACACTAACAGTATTTAAAAGACGTTTAGATGATGCACTCATCCACTTACACTTTGTCACTTAGCCCTACGTCTTCATCCTTGACTTGGTGTTTGCCATGGAATTATTTGATATTAACTGTGGGTGCCGTGAATGTAAGCGGATTGCATGAATACGGCGGAGCAAACGCTTAGTCTTTGTTTGCATATTTAAATGCTAACTGCTTATTATTCCTAAGTTTATTATTGTTATTTTGATATTATCAAAAACTTTCCAACGATATTTTAAAGCCAATCTTCTTAACCTGTGGAAATTCATTTTTCATTGTTCTTGCGTTTTCGTAGGCTGTTTAAATGGATGTACAGAAGCTTTTAATATTAAAAAGCGTGCACAATATGCTCTGTTTGTGTAATGATTTGTCTTCATGCATAAAGGCGTACATCAATTACACTACCATACTAGTTGTTTAAGCGACCAGGACTAGGATATTATCTGTACGCTAGCCACGCTTCTCTAAGCAACATGCGTGTTCAGGTTTAGCTGCGAATGGTTAGTGCATCCGGCAAAAAGGAGCTATTTGCCCATCATATGGGTCTGCCGCCTTCAACCAAGACTCAGTGCAACAGCTGCTGACATGCGGAAGTCATGGAGCCGGAATCCGATGTGGACCGACGTACGTGCACCAATGACGAGACCCCGAAGGTCAACATGATTGTATCAAGCGTATCCAGACGTGTGGGATCTCGCCTGACAGAGTAGTCACTGCGACAAACTAACTCTAATATTAGCAGAATAACCTTAAAAGTACAACTAATTAAGCATAGTAAACCGATGGTTTTGCAAATGGGAATTATTCTTAGTAAACTAGTAAAAGATGAATTCCAAGGAAACAGTACCTAATTTGTCGGCATGCGCTCCATTTCGATGGTAAATAAAGCGACATTATTGACGTGAGTCAACTAGCGAGAATAAGGATGAATAAACGCATGCATCGTACCTGCACTTCTTCAATGTTTAGGACGATTGTGCCCCCTCGGTCGTTTGTGATCCTCCAGATGCATAACGTGTTAGTTTCATTTAATATCCTCAAGAACATCGCATTTGATGTGCTTGTATTCAACTCCGTTCCACAATTGTCTGCAAAACAAACCCTAAGAATTACGATGTGTCCTCAATCCGAAATAAAGCAGATATGAAGCGGCTATTAGTTATTGTATGCTCGCAAGTAGTCATATATCCTAAGCTGTAAAGGGTTAAACTAGTATCTTTTTAACTGTGTTATTGTACACATAAATATAAGCTAATAGTAATGTATAATACACCCACATCAAGGAAGCATATTAGCTGTTCTCACATTCTAACCACGAATATTCGTTATGCTCACGCATAACATGGCAGATGAATATCGTTAGCTAACGAAAAGTTCCCTTCCAGATTATCCGAAATGCCCTAGTCTAGGAACTGCAGATAAGCCACCCACATGCTTCCATAAAATGCCAGTCCCTTCAGTTGTTGCATTCGTACATTCCGCCCTCAGATAACAGGTAGTTGACTTTTACTACTGGAGCATGTAAGTTTTAATGTAGCGTGAATATAAAAGTAATGGATTATATGGCATTCATATTTTCAAATAATGCAGATGAATAATTCAGGCTTATTGCTTAGAAATCACTTTAGATTTAAACTAGGATTTCAACTACTTAAGATGTGTAAATTGTGTGAAATAGTGCTGGGCAAATGAATATTAGGGTATTGGTGGTTTTGTGAGTATGTAACTTTTGTAGAAACTAGAAGCCACGAGTTAACTTTGCACAATAATCTACTTCGACGGAAAATCGAACCCAGACATACGGATTACCGGTCCGGACATGCACTCCGTATGTACGCGGTTCGATTCCCCGTCGAGCAGATGGTCGTGCAAAGTTCAATCGTGGCTTCTACTTTCTACAAAAATGATTATCATTTTTGAATCGCATCAGGACAAACCTCGTAATCTTCCGTGTTTGATGACACGTCGCTAAGTCGCTCTGTGTAAATTGATACACGGGAAGGATATTTCCATGTTGCATAGGCTATGCACATTACACAGTTAGCTGTTACCAAACGCTAGCACCTAGGAACAGTGTAAACGCGATTGCTGGGTGTTAAACACTGAATCCTACTCATCGGTCGATAAATGTATACGCTAGTTGTGAGTTGCCAACTGGACCAATAAAATATATGGCGCAATGGAACAATGGTTCTATGGAGGTAAAAATGCAAATACTTGACAAGTCCCGTAGGATGGTTGTGGTGAGACATGAAAATATATAGCAGTTTAGTAAAATTGCGCTTAAAGCGCTAAGAGTTCTGCGGTATAGGTGGCATAATCTGTAAATCCAGTGAAAATCCGTAAGTAAGGACGTTGGCAGAAATTTTATCTTCTGGTGTACAAATATGCGAGGTGACAAAGTGAAAGGAAATCTGGGATTTGAGCGCCAGTAAAATTTCGTACGGAAAGGCAAACTATGAGTTGTGATGAGCACTATATCCATAATAACTGAGATATACACACGACTATTATTTATGGCGGTATCATAATATAATGCTATTTCAGAATCTTTAAGTCCATCCAGTCTATGTTAATTCTCGTAACGGCCTTGTATGAAAACCCTAAGCGTTCTTCTGTGTAGGCCTGGGCAACCTGACAGTATTCTGCCCACACCATACAATGAATCTTCCCTCAAACCATTACTTGATGCTCTGGCCACCGCAGAGGATAATCAACCGTGCCCTATCTGCTGCATCGGGAAGGGTAGATAGGAGTTTGGATGCTACTACTCAAGACGTCCCGTCTTCGTATTCCTCCTCTTACAATTTTTCACTCCTACGGTCCCGTTCCAACTTCATTATTCCACCAGTTTTCAACCCCCGGTACTTGACACTCCCCCAACAAGCTTTGCTAGGCATTTGTCTTCTAATTTCAACTCACATATGAAGACAGAGTGTAACTCCTCTCCTGTCGACAAGCCCATGTTCAACCAAGCGGTTCATCCCAGTTCATCGGCTTCCATTTGGAGCACTCTATCCTTGTTCAGAGTCGCATGTCTTAACGTACGCACATTACTACAGATCGTTCAATAGGCAGCACTTGCCCGAACATTCGAGACCCTCACGATCCCTATCTGCTGCAAATCGGCGACCCACTTGCAAGACTCGAGCTCTGTGCTTACTCTGCGATTCCCTTCAAGTGACGCAAGCAGTGGTTTCTCATTGCGGCTATCCGGTGACGATGCAGCTTCGAGCACCGGCCAAAATGGTATTGGCATTGCCCTGAGCCCCCGGGCTGAAGCTCTTCTGGTTTTTTGGATTCCAATCAGTAGCCGGATGTGTGCGGTCCGATTGGCTGGTTTGTTCAAATCTTCGAAGTCGTGCGGGACCACAAGGTGTCTATTCGTCATCGCTGCCTACGCAACCACAAAGAGTGGCGATGATTCGGTAAAAAGCGACTTTCACCGTCAACTGACCCAGCTCTTTGGCCACAGAAGAAGCACAGACATGGTTGTGCTGGCGGGGGATCGGAACACACATGTTGGAAAGTTGTCCACTGATGAAGTGCATCTGGGCGGTCAGCACGGTGTTGGCTCCCGTAATGATAACGGGGAGCACTTCATTCATTTGTGTACACATGCTCGCTTATTTCTTGCGAGCACTAACTTCCGACACAGCACCCGCCGGAGAGTGACTTGGCGCCCACCAGTCTCAAACCAGACTTGTACGCAGATCGATGACATTGCCATAAGTTACCGCTGGAGAGGCTGCATCCAGAACTGTCGCACGATTTGTAGCACATGTGTTGACACGGATCATTCACTTTCATGTGCTTACATACGGATGCGCTTTGGCGGACGCCCACGTCGACGCTGTGAGCGCATTGACACCAGCTAACTGACAAAACCAACTGTTCTGAATGCGTATGGAAGTACGCTGACATGCGAGTTAAGTAAGCGCTCACTAAAGATAATTGATGGTCACTCGTCACATGTTCACCAGACCTTACTAGCACCAGGAGACCTGGTGTTAGTGAAACTAGACATGACGAGAGTGGACAGCCTATTCACAATTTGTCAAAATGATTGGAGCGTTAAGCTGAGCATTTTAAAAGCAATTTAATCGGCCAGAATTGTTTGATTCTTCGCCGGCCAGTGATCGCCCTGCTCCGTTGGCTGCCTCTTTGGATCCACCCTCTCGCTCAGAAGTCAAACGTGACGTCGGACTGTCGAAGTTGCACAAAGCCGCAGGACCAGATGAACTACCTCCAGCTCTCTTCTTCGGAGGCTCTGCTCTTGTTGATGCTTTACGTGAATTAATAGTGAAAGTGTGGGAGCAGGACACTGTCCCAAACGATTGGAGTCGCTCCGTTATTGTTCCCATCTTCAAAGGAGGCTCGGAATGCGGCAACCATAGAAGAATCAGTCTGCTCTCCATCGCCTCCAAATTACTCGCCTCCATAATTTTTCCCAGACTGACTGGCGCTCGTGAAAGCCAGATTCGTGAGGAGCAAGCCGCGTTTCGTCGAGGTCGTGGCTGCATCGACCACAATTTCAACGTACGTCAGTTGTTGGAGCACCGTCACACATATTGGCGGCCCACCGTTGTCGTGTTCCTTGACATCAAAGATACCTTCGATTCGGTTGATCGATGTGCCCTTTGGAATTGTCTACTCAGAAAAGGGGTGCCCAAGAAATATGTTAATATTATTCGAGCATTATACGCGCGTAGCACGGGCAGAGTGAGGGCTTACGGCAAGTTGTCGCCACCCTTCAATATCTCCTGCGGTGTTAGACAAGGATGCCGTTGTCACCTTTTCTCTTGAAGTTTGCTATTGACGAAGTCGTGGTGATTGCATTTACAGGACATGACGTGAAGCTACACTCAGGAGAAAGGCTCCTCGACTTGGAGTATGCAGATGACATTGCCTTCATCCGTGACAGCACCCAGACGTGCCAAGCTGCGCTGGACAGATTAGCACTGGCTCTCAGCCGCTTCGGGCTTTGCTTTGCACCATCGAAATGCAAAGCGTTCCTCCAAGTACGGCAGAGATCGTTTCCTGCGCTGACCCTTGGTGGGGATCAGCTAGAAGTCGTTAGGAAATTAAACAACCTGGGAATTTGTATCAACGCCCTTGGGCTCGAAGACGAAATCACGAACCTTATAGCAAAGGCTCGAAGTGCATTTGCTAACCTTCGCCACCTATGGTGCCGGCATGACATTACTCTCGCCCTGAAGGGTAGAGTGTACAATGCAACGATAGGTTCGACCTTACTGTACGGTTGCGAAACCTGGCCCCTAAGATCGGCGGACATGAAGAGGCTACTTATGTTGGACCATCGGTGCCTCCGCAGTTTGGCTCACATCTGGTGGGAACACCGCGTGAATAACGAGCGTGTTCGACGCCTTGTGTACGGCACAGGCTATAGGAACTGAACCGCTCAGCTCCGTCAGTTCACGCACCAGGCTCCGACAGCTGGGCCACGTGTTGCAGATTCCAGCCGAACGAGTTCCACGATGTGCGTTTTTTGCTCACCGGGGATGTGGATAGAAGAAGAGAAAGGTGGCCAAGCGATGACTTGTTCCTAGAGGAATGAAGTTCCTCACTTCTGTGCTGGCCTTGGTTGGAGCGTCACGGCTTCCTGGTTGGGGCCCAAAAGACGGTGAACACGTTTGGTTGGATACACTTGCTGACATGGCAAGGATCCGACCTCAGTGGCGTTCCTGCTGTGATTTTATTTGACCCTCTAAGCCCCCCACTTATCATATCATTTCATGGCGTGAAACATAATAATATTTTTCTTTTTGCCTAGTAGCCGGATGGTAGCTTACCGGAACGATGCCTATCCGTTGCTGGTAGCTCAGATGGCAAGCAAATTTGGACTTATTTTCCTTTATCATTTGTGTAGTGCGGCACAGTCACTGAGTTGTTTCGCAACTCTAGATGACGCGTATATAATAATAATAGTAATAATCATTGTTTCTCTGCTTACAAACGTATAACTGCCAGTTTGATAGCACCTACTAATACACATACTGCACAGGAATTGCTGTTTACAAATATTGACCGTGTGTATTCGTTATTCTTGTACTATAATCATCCAAAAATGCAAATTCAAATTCAAATGGTTAGAATAAAAGTAGATTTCTAGGCTCGTTCCATGCTGAATGCATCGTTGATCCACGTTTGGGCTCGGTGTACGATTGGCCTGTTGTATGAGCGAAATCAACATGTACAGAATATGTCGGGGTCAAGCATTCAAGACCCACGCGCCCCGCGCCAGCAGACGCCGCTGCGCAGGCCACGGACAACAAGAAAAGGAAGGTTAAAATTTCAATCTAAACAAAGTGGAGGAGATAAATATCTAAAAGAAAACTTAGTACGGGTACTTAAGCCTTAAATAAACGGTAGAACAATCGCATGCACTTTCCCAAAATAGTGAATGAGCACCGTTAGCCAGGGCAAAGTTTGCATTTAGATGACCCGAAAA